ATAAAAAGGTGGCGCAACGGTCAGTAACAAAGTTTAGGTTTGTCAGTATTAAACAAGAAACACCGGGTAAAGGTCAACCTAATAATTTCTCACCCATTTTTATAGTGGTAGTTTTCAATCTATCCACAAACGCGTCATTTAAAACAAGATTTAATTATTAAATACACATTTTAATGAGATTTGTGATATTGTTTGTGATTATCAACAAATCTATTAATATTTGACTCAATCGTACTTGATGACCTTATTTTCAAACGTGATTTTAATGTTTTTTGCGCAAATACTACCAGTTTTGTCATTTTTAAGCGATTTCATTAGAGAAAAAACTGTTCACAATTACAAGTAGATCCAAAATTTGTTAACACGTTGTGCCCCTTATATTAACATTTAACCACAACACATATTGACTATACACCTCTACAACAGTCCGAACGATTTCGTTCATGTAAGACAGTGAGGTCTGAAGCACAGGGACTCATAGATGGCTCTCATTCAAAAGTCGAGGCAACACGTACTGACATAAGCGGGTGTGAGAGTCATGTGATGTTTGAGTATGTGTGAGAGATTGGGCAATACATAACTAACGCAAATAATTGTCACACTATTAAATTGCTCATTAATAACAATTACATTAAATTTTATCATTGAATAATATATACATCAAGCGTGAACATTAGATTATAAACTTATATAAAATGAGTTTTAATTCATTATTTAATAAAGTAAAACAAAACCCCTATTTTCTTATTTAAATAAGAAAATAGGGGTTATATAATGATAGCGATATTTATGGTTAAGTGCCAATATCTATACCATAACATAAAAACTCCTTTACCATTCATACATTGCATGTTATTTATATCTTCAGCCATGTATAGATTTATTATATATATTAGGTATTTATTTATTTCTAAAATACTGTCAAATATATGCATAATAACGTGATGTACAGTATTTGTTTCATATCTCACATTGCATAAGTTTATTACAATCAACAGACATGCATAGATATATTATTTATATTAGACATTAATTTATTTTTCAATAACTTTCATACATATGAAACATAACATAAGTGTATTGTATTTGTTTCAGAGCTTACACTGCATTAGTTATTTACAATCTACAGACATGCATAGATATATTATACACATTAGATATTTGTTTATTTTCAATAACTTTCATACATATGAAACATAACATAAGTGTATTGTATTTGTTTCAGAGCTCACACTGCATTAGTTATTTACAATTTATTGACATGCATCGATATATTTATAAAGGTATAAAGCCGTACACCCAACAATAGTCCACACCATAAGCCAAGTCCTAACCTATAGTCCAAACCCAATGCCTAAACTTAATGGTTTTTTTAAAATACAACCCCATATTTCTTATTTAAATAAGAAATATGGGGTTTACATATCGATTGAAACATACAAACATAAGAAACACAACACAAGTTATGTGTATTAAACTGTTAGTAATCTAATTAATTCTTCATTTAATTTAAATTTTGATTCCAAGATGCATGGACTACCTTAAAATCTACTCCTGTCGGCAGATAAATCATTTAATTAATACAATGGGTATATATTTCACCTTGCCACATTTTTATTTCCTCCAATAAATTCATATAGTTATATAATAATTACAAATTACGCTTAGTTTGCATAGTTATGTCTATTAAACTGTTAGTAATCTTATTAATTCTTCATTTAATCAATCTACAGACATGCATAGATATATTATACACATTAGATATTTGTTTATTTTCAATAACTTTCATACATATGAAACATAACATAAGTGTATTGTATTTGTTTCAAAGCTTACACTCCATTAGGTATTTACAATCTATAGACATGCATCGATATATTTATAAAGGTATAAAGCCGTACACTCAACAATAGTCCACACCATAAGCCCAGTCCTAACCCATAATCCAAACCCCAATGCCCAAACTTAATGGTTTTTTAAAATATAACCCCATATTTTATATTTAAATAAGAAATATGGGGTTTACATACTGATTGAAACATACAAACATATGAAACACAACACAACAAAGTGTATTGTATTTGTTTCACAGTTTACATTGCATTAGTTTTTTACAATCTACAGACATGGATAGATATATTATACACATACATACTATTACTCGCAAACATAACGTGAGTGTTGTGTTACACTACATCTGTATTGTGAACTCTAATACTCAATACATAATACAAGCACTCAATACATAGCACTCAACACA